TAACACCCAGCCTTTCAAAGGAGCTGTAATAGAGATGTAGCCGTGTTAGTCTGGTCTTGCTGAAACAAAAGACTGCTGCATAGTCCTGCCTTTTGTTTCAAAGGAGTTGTTTGTCTTCCTTCCGGGAGTGGTAATAAAAGGTTAGCAGCATTTTCAAGGTGGATTTGCCATGGTCCTGAGCAGGTAGAAGTTAAACCAAACACTGCCGAGGGCTGGCCAGTGGGAGGCCAGCCATAGCAATGCCTTGGATGCTCTGCACCTGTGTATGCCATCACATGCACAGAGCAGCACCCATCGGTCACCTTGTGCTCGTCTGGAGACCAACCGTTTATTCCTACTCAGCTTCTCCTTGAGGTGCCATGGTCAAAATGGGCCTAGATGAGAAGGGAAACCCATTTCCTGTATGAAGCCCTGAGGCCTTAGCACTATCACAGCCTGTGCACCTAGGTGCCGTCTGTACATTTTTGCAGGTGGGTTCGACAGTTCTGTTCTCCTGTGTAGCTGCTGCTCGTATTGAGGAATTGCGTATTTTCATCATCAGCTCAGCTCGTTTAGGCTCTGCCTTGCTGTGAGCTAGGGCTGTGATCCTGGCATGCGGATGCTGCTTTGGCTGGCTCTCCTCCCGCTAGCTGTGTAGCCCAGGTAGCAAGGGTAGCAGCAGCAGAGGCATGTCACCACTGTAACTGCACTGCTGCCTGAGGTGCTGCGGAAAGGAATCCCTTCCCGGCTCCTACCTTTCAATTTCCCTTGGATTTCATGGCTTTCTTGCTACGTTTTTTTCAAACAACTGAGGAGCCCTCTTTCTACAGCTGAGTGTGTCCGTGCTAGGTCTGGAGTCCTCTCCTCCAGAAGGCTGTTGGACACAATTGTGCTGTGGGCATGCTTACTGAGGGTGGCTGTGTCTAGATTGGCAAATTTTTCCGCAAAATCATCTGCTTTTGCGGAAAAACTTGTCAGCTATCTACACTGGCCGCTTGAATTTCTGGAAAAGCACTGACGATCTCATGTAAGATCATCGGTGCTTTTCCGGAAATACTATGCTGCTCCCATTCGGGCAAAAGTCTTTTTCCAAAAGACTTTTGCACAAAAGGGCCTGTGTAGACAGCACAGTGCTGTTTTCCACAAAAAAGCCCTGATCGCGAAAATGCTTTTGCGGAAAAGCATCCTGCCAATCTAGACATGCTTTTCCGAAAATGCTTTTAACGGAAAACTTTTCCGTTAAAAGCATTTTCGGAAAATCATGCCAGTGTAGACGTGGAACAGCAAAGCGCGCTAGAGAAATGTGATTCGTAAAACACTCCAGCATGCTGCACCTTTGTGTAAACTATGCTAGCCTGAAGCAGGTACCGTTAGTGTGCACGTGTGGGGTATTCATGGGACCCTTGGAATGCAGCACGTTAGAGCACTATCCGTCTACATGGCACTTAAGTCCTTAGTAGCTCAACTCTAGGACTTCACAATAACTATTCAAATCACGTGTTCTCATGTTTTGTTCTTTGACTGGAAGACTTACGCATTACAGAGAGGGACTTTTACACGTCAGTATGCACAAGCTGAGATTTGCTTTTGGTGGACAGTCAAGCCTTTGGATTTTAGATTTGCTTCTCACAACTACTTGTGCTAATAAACACTCAGCCCTAAGCAGAAAGCTGCCATGGAAGGGTCATGAACACAGTGGGACTGAACACATGAAGAGAAGCTTCCCCCCAGAAGAATGCCATCTTGTGTAATCACATAATCAGATAGTGCAGCCTCCAATACCGGATTGAAGGCAAAAATCGTGTGCACATTTCAACCCAGGTGTGCTCACACTGTCACTCCCTCGCATAAAACAAAGCTCAGTGCAGAGTGACCGGGCAGCCATTGTGTGAAGAAAGGACTATTTCTGCATTGTTCCTAGAGCGACAATGCAAATGTCTGCAGTGCTATTGGGAGCAGAGCACTCTTGGAGGCGGGTCATTTTGCAGAGGTTCTTTGGGAAGGGCTGGTATATGCAGGGTCATGCCGAGTGCTCCAGCGCCTGCAGAATCCACTGGAAGTTTCTCGTGACCACACGGCAGAGAAAGGCGCATCGCTTGAGAGGTCAGCCTCAGGCTGCTATAAGAAGGTGGCAGCTGCCCCAGTAACTCCAAGACCTAAGTGTGGAGTCCCCTGCCAACCCTCCCGCTGCAGAAGACAATGTCTGTGGCAGACGGAGAGGAGCGGGCCCTGTGTGCGGCTCTAGTGCAGATCACACTCTTCCCTTTCACCTGAAACAAACTTGCAATGCAACCCCCCTGAATTTACGTCCCCAGACATGGCTGGATGGACCCTGGCGTGGGCCATTTCATCTGAAGTTTTCACAGAAGTTTCAAGGCAGAAGGGCTCTCCCATGACAGTCTGTTTGCCAGTCTTTCTACCGGTAACATACCGACTTTTCAGCCCTGCAGCTGATCCCTTCCAGCGTTTCAGGGGTGTCCCAGGCATCAATGACCACAACTATATTGACTGGGGGAAAATATAGAGTCCCTGTTATGGGGCAGGGAGGGGGACCTTGGAATGGGGGCACACAGAGCCCCTGCTTGGGGGAGATTAGGGAACTCAGACAGGGAAGGAGTCCCACAAACCTGCTTCAACAGGGGGAGACAGCGCCTCGTCTCCAGACACCTCAGGCCTTGGCAGTGCCTCATCGCTGTTATCTGAAAGGCGCAAGTCCAGAAAAGACTCTCCCAGTCTCCTCTGCGGTGAAGACTAAAGCTGTGTCTACACTACAGGGCCTGGGCCAGCATCACCTCCTAGCGGAGATGTAGCGAATGCTGGCAGAGGGGGGCTGTGGGTGTAGCAACACCACCTCCCAAGTTGTTAGCTATGCTGACAGATGCGCTCTTCTCTTACTACAGCTGGGTCTACACTGCAGGGAGGGGGCTGTCACCATCGCTATGTTGCTACAGGTGTCGTTTTTCACACCCTGACAGAGCTATGATGCCAGTGAGCGCAAAGTATAGACCAGAGCGGAGGAAAAAATTGTGAAACTTCCAAGGAATTTCCTTAGCTTCTTGAACTTTACTCTGGTGGCATAAACCCGTCCTCCTGCAGGTATCTTCTGGGGCATCTGGCATTGGCCAGTGTCGGCAGACAGGATACTGGGCTGGAGGGACCATTGGTCTGACCCAGTCTGGCCGTTCTTATCTTCTTATGTTCTAGTTTTTCATTGATATCATTCCTGGTTATTTTTAAATACCTTGACCGACATCCTCTTCTCATTCCCTTTTAACGTCTACATTTTCTCCTTACACGCTGCCTGATGCAGTCGATCTTCCATTCCACTGGCTTCGCCAGGGTTGGATTTCCATTTACGACTTAGTGCCAGGCTTCCCTTCTCGGGAATGGCCATGACTCCCAGGAGCTCATCCTGCACCGAAACGCCAAGCAAAGAGCCCTACGAAAAGCCTGGGGCACTGCAACCCCTCGGCTATGTCTACACTCTACCCTTCTTGCAGAAAAGCATATGCAAATGAAGCTCAGCGTGGAATATCACCACGCTTCATTTGCATAGTTAATGAGCAGCCAGTTTTGGCAAGAGGCTTTTGTGCAAAAAATAGATGGCTCCTGAAAATATGAGGAAGAATGGCTCTTGCTCAAGAGTGGGTTTTTGTGCAAAAAGGAGCCGTCTACTTGGCTCTTTTTTGCGCAAAAGTCTCTTGCGCAAAAACAGCTGCTCATTAACTATGCAAATGAAGTGTGGCGATATTCCACACCGAGCTTCATTTGCATACGCTTTTCCGCAAGAAGGCTACAGTGTAGACACAGCCAAGCTAGTCGTTGGCAGGCAGGATGGAATAGCGCAGCGCCAATGCTCTCCGAGGCCCGCCCCCGAAGCTGTGTGCACTGACTGGGAGAGAGGAGGTAAAAGACAGCGCTAGCGAGCGGTGTGAAAGGAAGTCCACTGCCTTACTGCTCCTCCAAGGGCACAATCCTATGGAATTCTAGAAGAAAGTTCTAGAAGAAACCCAGCAGAGCAATTCAAAAGGACAAACTCTGAGCTACGTGGGAAGAAAAAAAGCAAGGGGTTGCTTAAAAAAGTGTTCACAGGGATTAGGCTTCAGTCATGACATTTTTGGGCCAGGTTTTTGTTGCTGCAAGATCTTGTTCCCCTTTTTATGGTGAGAATAGACTAATTCAGTAGTTTGTATCTCCATAAACTTTCAAACTTCACAATGCAGAGCTCTGGTTATTTTAAAACTTCTCAAAGTGAGGACAAAGATTTGTCTAGATGCAGAGTTAGTGTGCGGGGCTTAAACAGCCGTACACCCCGGCGCCCAGACAAATAGCGGGCAGCGTGCTAGAGCACTGCAGATTTACACCCCGGCTTGCTGGGCATTAATTCACCATAGAGACACTGAGCATTTCCCAGGCTTCTAATTAGCTTATGCTAACATCACGGCATGCTGACGTCCACCCGTATGACAGCTCGGTTTCATCATTCATAAACTTTTGTGGTTAACGCTCCACCAGCCAGTCACCCACTGGAGTCATGTTTCTGAGAATGAGCGCTCTGCGGCAGCACGGCATTCAGAGCTACCCAGCGACACCCACTCTGCCCCCTACACCCATTTCCTCCGATGGCGGCTTTGTGCAGGGTCGCTCTGTGAGCAGCACAGGGGCCGTTTGCTTCCAAACACCCCTGTTCACATAGCCACAAAAATGACAAGGTCCATTTTCAACAGTGCCCCTCGTTTTGAGGTGTTCCCATTTTTACTGCCCACCTGGAAACACTTGTGTTGATTTCTAGAGGTGTTGAGCAAGTACAATGGGAAGCCAATGGGAGCTGCAGATACCGAGTGCCTCTGAAAATCAGAACCAAAGTGTCTTAAATCTCCTGGATTCCTCTGCTAGGCTCACACAGCCCTCCAGGAAAATGCACCTCCTGGCAACTGCATCAAAATAAGGAGGAACTTTATAGGATGGGTTGACAATAAGGGACTAGGGAAGCATGTGTGGTGGATATTTTTAGCCATTACCTGTGGGTGTAGGTTTATGGAGGGCTGGTTTGGGGAGTAGGGCCCCCCAAGATCATTCCTGAGTAGGTTATCGCTGTGCATCTTTGTTTTGAGGCAGGTGATATAACGGTTACAAAAGTCCTTGCACAATTCATTCACCTTCTCCAGCTCCAGCAGATGAATTCTCAGGACCTGAATTGCTTTCACCATCTGAGAGGGATAAACAAAGAGAGGAGGTCAGAGCATATCCACTGGCTTTCTAGTAACTACTAGACCTAAGGGTCTGCTAAGGATGAGAATCTGCAAAATCACCCAGGAACTGCTAAGAATGAGATGCTGATTAAATCAGGCTGCATACGATTGGCCACACAATCATGTTTAGGACTGCAGTTCAAATCTGTTGGGGCTAGTGCAGAAAAGCAGCCTTTCAAACAGTGCTGTTTTTTCACTACCGGGAAAAGGAAAGAAACATTTCTGTTGCCATGGGATTCACCAAGCTGATTCATCCCCGAGTACTGCTGCGCGAAGGAAGCTACACTTGGAACTTAGCTAAGGACAAAGTGGAAGCTATAGAATCTGTGGCAAAAGCAATCAGCTGTTCTGTGTTTTTATCCAAGTACCTGCAGTTCTTATTGGAAGACAGGTAACAAAAGTAAGTAAAATACTGAGCTGAGAAAATGAACTAATACCTGGTTCCCTTTCATCAGCTGAAAGTTAGTAATTAATTACTCAGGGACTTTGTTTCTCTGCTAACCACTATGGCCGTGTCCAGACTCAGGGGTTTTTTCGGGAAAAGTAGCCTTTTCCCGAAAAAACTTCCCCTGCATCCAGACTCAAGCCGCGTTCTTTTGAAATTATTTCGAAAGAACACAGCTTTTCTTTCGATGGCGGTAAACCTCGTTTCACGAGGAAGAACGCCTTCTTTCGAAAGTTCCTCTTTCGAAAGAAGGCGTTCTTCAATGTAAAGAGGCCGTCTTCGAAAGAGAGCATCCAGACTCGCTGGGTGCTCTCTTTCGAAAAAGCGGATTTCTCTTTCGAAAGATCCGCCTGCAGTCTAGACGCGATCTTTTGAAAGAGGCTCTTTCGAAAGAAGCCTGCAGTCTAGACATAGCCTATGAGTCCCAACTAGGTGGTCACGACTGGCTGAAGACTATGTTGCTGGTCAGGACTAGGGGTGTTAAATATCGGTTAATTGAATATTCAAGTAACCTCCTGAATTCTTATTGGTTAGTCGACTATTCTATAGTCCCCGGGGGCGGGGCTGGCAGCCAGTGTATCAGAGGCAGCAGTGCAGGGTGTTAGGTGGGACTGGTCCATGATTGGATCCAGTTTAAAAACCAACTCCCCTTGTGGTCCAGCTGCCTGTTGCCCAGAGCTGCTGCTTCTGTTAAAGAGGCATCAGTGTGAGGTGGCAGCAGCCCCTGTCTATGGGGGTCCGAGCTCCCAGACCCGGCGCGAGCAGGAACTGAGCTGGGCTGCCCACCTGGCTCCTAATACACTTTAAGTGCAGAGCCACAGCAGGGGTAGCTTCTGGACGTGGTGTGAGCCAGGACTGAGGTGGGCTGCTGGCCAGCCTGCTAAAAAATTAACTGGTGGGGGGGGGAGAAATGCGTGTAGCCTGTAGCATTAACCGATATGTTTTTGCTAATCGGATAATCGCCTGCACTATTACATCCCTAGTCAGCATCAACCAGGGAACCACCCACCTCAGAGCGACTCGGCATGAGTTTGTACTGCTCCCCGTTTGGCGTTGCAGCGTCTTACTGTAATTACCATCCCAACTAAAGGAAATGCCCAAAGAAATTTTGGAGACTAAGCATTGGACGTAAAAATGTGTTTGATTATTCTCAGCTGGCCACTCTCCCTAACAAGATTTCAGAGCAGCAATGTCGCTGTAAGCTTTCCCTAGAGCAAAGCCAGAGCCTCATTAAAATGTACCCCATAAATGTTAAAAAACGTCCACATAAAACATTCCTCTCCTGGAACGGGAACTTTACATTTTACAGCTTCAGTTTGAAATCTTGCATAATATATAAAATTCCAGCTATTCACGGTGGGGCGATAAAGGCAGTTTTATATAACAAAAAGTCTTTGCATGTCAAAGGGTTTTTTAACTTGCAAATTGTAGTGATCATCTTTACAAACTGTTAGCCACAGACTGCTCCTGGGCGGAAGCTCCGCACACTTCACTTGCCCTGATCAGCCGGCAGTGGCAATAGCAGGAGGAGGGCCGTTGGGAAGCCGCTGCTGGAATGAGGCCTCGCTCCAAGAGCTCTAAAAGGGGCTGGGAGAAAGGGCAGGGGGAAGGTGAGGGTCTGAGGAGACAGACACATTCTCTACCCTATTGCACTGCGAAGGCTCTCTTGGTGGAGTCGCAAAGCCAGCTGGCAGACAGAATAAAGGGGCACAGTTATCAATACAGCACGGAGAGTTTCATCAGAAGCATGGTTAGCTAGGGCAAATAGGGGACAAGTGCCCTGTAGTCCCCATCTCCGCCAGAGACTTTAGAGAGGAAGAGGCTGAAAGCCCTTGAAACACCTTTGCTTTTCAGCTCCTGCTGCAGCCCCAGGAAGACTGGTTCACGTGGCTACGCCACGGAGCCCGTGTACTCCTCGCCCTGCTTCTTTTCTCTTTCAGAAATGGGAATAACGCACAAGGTCAAAAGACAGAAAACCCAGCCGGCACATGGCGCGGGGAATTGAGCTCTTCAGCGCTGCTCCAGACACGGCCAAGAGAAAAGTGAGGCTCCGAAAAGAGCCAGGGATCTCTCAGACCGGCGCTTCCATCCAACAATCACATTTATGAAAGTCAATATTCAAGGGCAAAGGCAAGAAGACCTGACACACATATATATATTAAAAATAAATCTCTCAATTATCTCAGCTCATTTGCTTAGGGGCTCTCATTTTATGTTCCTGCTTCGCTGCGTAGTATATCTGTCCAGAGAAAGAGTTACAGTCCAATGGAATACGTGTGCGGGGTTGTAAAAAATACAGATGCTGAATTAATTGACTGTGCGGCACTCAGCAGCTGATTGAGTTGATAATGGCAAGATCTGACCTTTTTCTAATTTCTAATTATATGCATCTCGGCTGGGAGGAATACATGATTCTTATTCTAATGATGGCTAATGTTGCTGGCCCTTTCATCTCCTTTTCGCCATCAGTGGTGGACAATTTATAGGGAATTAGTGGTGTCAAGAAATCCCCCAGACAACACAAACAAACCCCAGCAGAAGATGAGTTTGCCATTGCTTGCTCCAGACGCAGTGACTGCCTATGTGAAGCGGAGAGAGCCAAACAGAGGAGTAAGAGGTAGAAATGCTGAGCCCCCCACAAAAGGCGCCGTATCTGCCAAGGAATATGGGACCGCGCCAGATTTGACATGAGTGAGGAGAAAATTTCATTTCTGTCACTCAGTTGCAAACTCATGACCGCCACTTCCGTCACTTCCCCTGTGTAAAACCAGGGCGTTGGCACAAAAACGTGTTTTGCTGTGGCCAAACTGTGCACCTCAGGCCCCCGGCTCTCCCCGAGGAATGAGCAACATGAAGAATAAGGCAGAGGCCTAGCTGGATAATAAAAGTAGTTAAAACAGCCCTGCAGCAGAGACAGCAGCATTTCTCCTGCCGGGAGAGCGCTGGCGTTTCACCTCCCGGTGTCACAGTGTAAAGAACGGGATCCCTGCTCCACTTCATCCCTGGTCGGAATCCATTGGGTCCGCAAGCTCCACAGCTCTGCCAAGGCCTGGCGTCTGGTTTGCCAATTACTCAGCATTAGGCCTCACAATTGTGACGGAACCTCGTGCCCTTGGAAATGGCGACTGCTTACCGCCAATGTTACCGTCCCTCTGAACTCGCTCCACAAGACTCCCGTTTGCATATCTTTCTTGTAGTGCAGGCTACGTGTTCTCCAGTCGGTCCATAAACGTTAACTAATCCCCCAGAGCGACATTAATGCCTGATCTGTCCGTCTTTATTTGTGGGAACAGAGGCTGCAGGATTGGGCTCTAAAATGCTGCCCGGGGGGGGGGGGGTGAAAGCGTTGTTCACAAAAATAACTAATGACTAACGACTCTGCGGCGTTCCCAGAGCTCCTTGCTCGAGGCGGGATTGCACTCTGCAATGCCACGGCGGTTTGCAGAGACCAGTCTGCGGACTGCAGTCACCAGAGGAGCAGGTGCTAAGATTTACCTCTGCAGCACCAGGGTTGCTCAGGCAGGGAGAGCGGGTTCTTCTCCCCTCAGCCGCAGGCCCAGGGACACTGGCTCTGTCATGGGCAACGATGCCAAAGGGGGAAAGAACTCAGGGTCTGCTTGACGATCCCGAGCCTGCTGGGCTACAGAGGCTCTGGCTGGGAGGGAAGAGACTGGAGGTCCTGGCCGGGAAATGCATTTCTGCTTGGGTGGGACTTGGGACGAGAGGCTCTCCCCTGTCTCCTCTGCGCTCACTCCTCTCCCTCGGCCGCCAGTGCAGCACTCAGCGCCACGGGCTGGCGGCTACATAAGCCGGCGTACGGCAGGGTGATGAGTCGAGCGGGGGGAATAATATTTGGTGACCAAAACATAAAATTGGAACACGTGTTTGTTTTGGGTCCAATGCAATTAGACATTTTTGGAATGTTTTCCCAAGTTTTGTGAGGAGAAGGGATTTGGGTGCAAATCTATTTACCGAATCCAGCCACGAATCCAGCAGGCTTTGTGAACAGTTTTGGTTGACCTGAAACTGCATGTTTTGGCAAACTGTTTACTTGCCACTTGCTTTCCCCCCAGTTCTAGTCATGAGCAAAGAACAGCCGTCTCTCATGGCCTCCAGGAAGGAGGGGCCCCTGCAGACACAGATTTCTGCACACTAGAAAGTAATGAAGGAAAATGGTGAGGAGGAAGAAATGGTGGGTGCTGAAAAGGAAGGATCCTCCTGAGAGAAGCCTCGTACAGGGGGCAGATGACAGGACAAGTACCCAGCAAGGCCAGACCTCAAAAGCACCCTAAGTGCATCAGTGCTCGGGGGCCGTGTCTCTGCCCCTGAAAACTTGGACAAATACGCAGGATACATCAATGAGAAACTTCGATTTTAATATAAAATATACAAAAATGGAAGCCAGGAGAGAAAAATGAAAAGAGCAACAGACAGGTGGGGCTTGCACAGGAATTGCTGGGAAGAGAAGAGAAAAGAAAAGAGCCGGTACGTACGCTCCTATCAGCTGCTTACA